CACACTCTGCAACTGAAACATCAAGCAAAAGTAAAACATCAAACCAATGAGAGCCAATGCAGGAAATTCGTTACGAGATTTATGTCAATTGGATAAGTGTAAAACAAAAAGTTACAATCAAATATTTCGCTCGCAGATCCTCGAGCTTCTTCAGTGATTGGTGAACGAGAAACGCGAGAACATGTTTGATTGCAGAAATCAAAATAGAACTCAAAATCTCAGTTCAAGGTACAACTCAGAATCAAAGTAAAAATCAAAATAATTTGAAATAGTTTAATAAAGATCAAAATGTCATACTTACACATTAATTGATACGAATTTCATGTAACGAGTATCCCGTGCTGGCTCTCATCGGCTTGATGTTTCACTTTCGATTGTCTGTATCCAAGAGGTCTAATAAAAAACTTCGCTAAGGCAATTTTCTGCGATTTGCAGGTTCTTCGTCATGTACTTGGTGGAGGAGTGCGTGCACACGCATCTCAAGCGGAGGCAGAAGCAAGGAGCGAGCAATGCGAAAGACGTGAATCGCAGCACGAACGAGCTGATGGAGATCGGTCAGGCGGTGCCGTCGTGCGCCAACGGCCACACACACATGTAAGCCTGTTTGTGCAAAACCGTCGCGAAAATATCAATTTATCGGCCGACACTTGGTCGCGCTTTGAACGCGCACGATTTGAAATTCTTGAACTTACAGGGGCCACAGCCATTTACCGGTGATAATGGAGAACAACGAGGACGAATTCATAATAAGTTCGCTGAGAGGACTGTTAATAGTCCTCGGCTTATCCGTGCACGAGCTGTTCGAGGGCTTGGCGATCGGTTTGGAAAGTTCCAGCAATTATGTCTGGTAATTGTCCCGCACTGAGTATTCCGAAACGCGCGCGCGTACGCGAAAAGGAAACAGTATAATTGGTCCATATATAAATCTGCTTGTGCCAACCAGATTCAGCATTGAAGTTATGTGTGGACCAACCGTGCTGTTTGTTCCGTGCGGCAATCATGTTTAGAGACGACGTACGTCGTGATACAAGCGCGATAACACAATCATTGAGTCCTCTTTTCAAGTGACTTATCGAGTTACTTAGTTTCTACACAACTGCGTGCAAAGTCAAGTCATTATATTATTATTGCACACGTGTCCTCTCGTTCACAATGAGAAGATATATTTGCAATCATTAATCGCACATATTCTTTAATCGCGCGCTAAGTTACATCCGCGCCATATTTTAGAGTGTCTTCGTGATACGAGCCATGTCGCTTGATAAATGGTACAATGTGCTCCTATATGTTTAGGTACATGTTCGGGGCCGTGGCAGCCCATAAATTCGTTATAGCCTTCTGCATTGGAGTCGAACTGATCGCTTCGAGGACCAAGCGGTATCTATCCGTAATTTACGTGGTCACGTTTGCGGTAGTGTCGCCGATAGGGATCGGAATCGGAATGCTCCTGGTCGGCGGCGGAAGCGCGGCTACCAGTGGGCCAATGGCAGTGATATTACAGGCAAGTCTCGCAATTTAGGAATCCCAATCGCGTTGGGAAATACGCGATTCCACAGAACAGATACTACTTGACATATACATAACATAGTATACGATTAGTTATCAGTAATACGCGCGTGGCAAAAAACTTCTAAATTCTTCTAAGAAGTCGTTGAAGTTTACCCTAGACTTTATTATGTCTCCAGATTAGTCTAAATAGACTGATCGGGCGACAAACAATGTGTGTAGAATAGAGGAATCACTTGACACATGAGATATATTTATGAAAAATTATATAAAGAGATATATATTAAAAAATATATATATATTTATTTATTAAAAGTTATGTGCAGTAAGTGATTTCGGATTTTTCAGGTAAAATGAAACGGTTATATTTTTATATTCTCATAATCTCATGAAAAGAAATGTATGACAGGTGATCATAGATTAAAATGACGCCTATTGTTTTATCAAATTATAACGACATAAAAATACAATCATTTTATTTTATCTAAAAAATCCGCAGTTACTTATGGCATAACCTAATATATATATATATATATATATTTTTTTTTTTTTTTTTTCTTTTAAATTTGATGCTTTTGCGATGTGAAGAAACGCTAGATTTAGTATTTGAGCTGAAGCTGCTTTTCTTTTTGTGAATTTGTTTCTAACGTTTTGTAGATATTTTAGTTCACTTCATCAGAGAATCATGTCATTCTATATTGATCGTAGGGATTGGCGTCGGGCACTCTTCTTTACGTAGTATTCTTCGAGGTTCTACAGGAACACCGAAGCGGGTTGAAGCAGTATCTTTCAATCCTCGTGGGTTTTATCTTGATGTTCGGCATACAGATGCTAAGTAAGTGCAAGCAATTTTATCTTATATTAACGTGCTCTATAGTTTCACATTCCCCGGTAATGGTCACGTAGAAATCGAGAGAACGTCATAATTATCCAATCTCCGTACTCTCTCTCTCTTTCCTCGAAACAAATGAGCTCTTCGTGTTGAACGAACGCAACTGAAAGCGGATTTAAGTGGCTGAAATTTCTATATCTTGCTACGTTTTGCTACGTTTTGTCTACGTTTTGCTTATTTGTAATGACTCAACTGCAATCCACAACTTGGAATGCATGTTCGAACGTCATAGATAAAATTAAATCGCGACAAAGTAAGACAATGTATTATTAATTATACAAATGTATATGACGTCGGGTGCGATAACATCGCTATCGACCATCACACACTTAATGACCGTTTAAGTGCACGACTTTCTAACTTACACGATGTAGATTCTCCTCGATTAGTAAGCACTGACGGTTCTTTCTCCTTTAAAGAGAAGGTAACTATAAGCATACGGAGATTAAACATTTCGAAATATCTTTTATCTTGACTGGCAATCTTCAAATTCAGGCCACAAAGTCGCACTTCGTGAATCGAATGGTTTCGAAACATATAGAGTGTCTTGACGTTGATTTGATACTTTTGATTTTCACTGAGAGAAATTATCTGATAAAAAATTAACAAACGGATATTTCCGATCAAAATACCGATGTATTTTTATATCTGATCCGGATATTCGATTAAATTTAATCGAATACTTCCGATCATAATGGAATTTCAGATAAACCGATCAGATAAACCGATCAAAAAATTATGAATATATTTCTCATCAGATGTTTCCTGATTGGGTGCAAAAATTTATTGGATCATTTTGGTCGGAAATATTCGATTAAATTTAATCGGATATCTGGATCGGATATGCTTATGTTTGTTAATTTCTTTTCGAATAATTTCTCTCAGTGCACTAATTATTTCGATGTTCTACTCAAATTTGAATCCCCAGACATGCGGCGAATAAATGCATATATTCACGTTAGCTTGTTTCATTAATTCTCTATCAACACATTTTATCTACACATATGATTTGTTATCCCCGCTTAACCCTTTAACGGCCACAGTTATATATACATAATTTTATTTATGCATAAATGACTTTATTCTTATCTCCAACGACTATAACCTCGTGAAGAAGCACTTCTCGATAACAAAAAGCATTTCTCGTTTATAATTATAATATTATAGGAATCATGTGTGCAGATTTATGAACTAGCAGGATATCTGTCTCCTTAGATACTCTCTAAGCGAGCTCGCGACATTTGTTGGCCCGATTCCAAAATTTGCCTGAAATAAGTGCGGCCGTCAAAGTGTCAAGATGTGATGGATACAAAATAGTTAGATTACATTATGGTTCAGTTTGAATTTCTATGCAAATTAATCATCGTCTTATTGATTCACATCGATTTAGATGGAAATTTAGGCCGAACCTTATGTAATGTTATCGTTTTGTATCTATCACACTTCGAGCAGGAATACGCAGTTAGTTATATCTTAAGGCCGATCTACTGGTCGTATCGTAGCGTCGCAAACGTTATAAGCGTCGTGCGATTCGTCGTGACGGGTTATCGTAGAAGTTTGGTCAATCTTCAACGATTCTACGACACTACGATTGCTACGATCAACCAATCGTATTACTTAGAAATATATATATATATATATATATATATATATATATATATATATATATATATATATATATA